TTGTATCTCTCAGTTTCTGAGAAATGTGTTTTGAAATTTCTTAGATTACTTTTAGATTTATTGATTTTCTTTCTTGGAATTGTTAGTTTTTGTTTTATACATTTGAGCCCCTGTTGTTAGTTGAATAAATATTAAGTTATTATTATCTTCATGGTTAATTATTTTTATTGTTATGTGGTAACTTTATTTGTCTTGTACTCTTTTTCCTTATTCTGTTGCATATTAATATTGTTATACCAGTCTTCTTTTGGACTTTTTGGAATTTGAGAGAGAGAGAGAGAGAGAGAGAGAGAGAGAGAGAGAGAGAGAGAGAGTGTGTGTGTGTGTGTGTGTGTGTGTGTGATTGATTTAACTTTTTTAGTATAAAATGAAATATAGATACAGAAAACCATACAACACAATTGTACAGCTTAATGAGTTATTGTTAGGTGAATACTCTTGTTACTAATGCGCAAGGCAAGAAGTAGAACTATGCCAGCCACTCCTGAAACCCTTTATGTGTGTCTCATACTTTCTCTTTCTCCAAAAAGTTACTGCTGTCCTGACTTTTAGGGTAATCCCTTTTTTCTGTTTCTGTATGGTTTTATCACCCCCATGTGCATTCCTAGACTCTATAGTTTAGTCTTGTCCATTCTAAAAATATTTTATATGTCTTTTAAATCTTTTAATCAGCAGGTTTCCCTTTCATTTTTTTTTTTCCTTTGTCATTTATTTGTTGATGAATCTTGGCCATTTGATCTTTAGACTTTCCCATCATCTGGATTTTACTGATTGTATGCATGAGACACATATTTAAGTAGATTCTGTTGTCTTCTGTATTTTGTTGCAAATTGACAGTTCTAAGGGCTTATTCAGACTCTGGTTGATTCCTTCTGGCAAAGGTATAGATGTTTTGTTCTTTCATAATGTCTGGGTTTTTTTTACTCTTTTTGATGTAAGCTGCCACTAATGCTAAATACTGATATCTTTTTGTTTATTGAGGTTTGTAAAACTGTGTCACTTTAATTCTGTCATTTTATTTTCATTTTTTACCTGGAATAATTTTAGGAAGACATGCTTACCCTTATCCATTATTTGGTTACCCAATGATAAGGTTCATAGAAAAGGCAAAATAACTGCTTGTTTCTTTCTTTTTCTTTATCCACTTGTCAGGATGATGTGTTGGTTTGTCATCATCCTCTGAGTATGACCAATTAGCTTTCTTTTCAGTATATCATGATGAACTTTTATGTGTTTGCTTTATTTCTATTTATTTTCTTTATTAAAATTTAAATTGCCTGTTTTTGCTTAGTTGGTGCCAGAGCCTTTTCGAGATGACCCTAGTCACCCTTGATAGCTTTCTTGCTATCTAGTGTCAGGAAGTTCCAAACTTATCTTGTACATTTTCTTCCTGGGACCTGATAATCAGCTACTCAATGAAAAACTTAAATATACAAATGATACATAAATACATTCTTGAAAAATTTTCAAGATCCTTACCTCGGTCTTCTTCTCCACAGAGGTAATCCCTGTTATCATTTGATTAACTGTCTTTCCAAACTTTTACTTACGAATTTTTATGTCTACATACAGAAATAAATATAATACAGAATATTGGTTTTTTTATATGATATTTTTTCTAACTTAAAAATCATAAATGATGTTTAAACTTATTAATGGGTTTTTTTATTCAATTATATATCTTGGTAATTTTTCTATGTTAATACATAGAGGTGTACCTCATTCTTTTTAAACTTATATACTATTTGGTATGGTTCTACCTCATTTTACTAAATGCTTCTCCTAGTGTTGTATATTAGGTTGTTTCTAGTTTTTCTACTAATACAACTCTTGCTTCTATTGCTGCCGTTTGTTTGGAGTCATAGAGTTACGTGCATTCAGAATTTTGCTAGTTTGCCTTCTGAAGTACCTGTCCTTCCACAAGCAGAGTCTGAGAAGACCTGTTTCTCTTCCACTCGCCAGTGCTTGGTATTATCAAATCTTGCCAATCTATGGGTAAAACATTTTCTAGATTTCCTAGTGCCTTTCTGAGATGGCAGTCAGGGAGCCCAGATAGTGCTCTCAGGTGAGTGTTGCAGCAGTCATCTGGGTAGAGGTTGTCCTTCCTCACCTTTTCGTGGGTACCACATTTACTGTTCCAGCGGGACTCACACAGAGCTGTTCTTGTTGCCTTGCTCCAGAGGCTGCTTTGTTCTCTTGATGACCTAGCTGGTTTTGTCCACCTTTGTGTTGTGTCCAGCTTTCGCTGTATGCCACTTCTTACCTGTTTTCCCATCCTGTCCTGGTAGCAATTTTTTCCCTGTTTGTTTTGGTTAGTAGTTTTATTGGTCTATACTATAACATCTTCTTTGCATCTTTTTTCACTTTCTACAAGTCCAAGGGCTACTGCCAACAATGGAGTATTAAAAAGCATTCGTCCCGTCATTTCTCAGGTGTATATGGAAGCAGGAGGCTGCATTTAGTTTGCTGGAACTCTATTCTCATTTTAAATATAGGGGTAAATGAAGTTTTCACTTAGAGATCAATTTACCCATTGTCATATATCAGAATCAGGACCTTTGAGAATTGTAGTGTAAGTTTTAATGACACTCACAAACCTGTCTTGAGTTAAATGCTCAGTTAGTTGGCTTTAAAGCCTTGTTTTAAAAATCACAATCAGTACTTTTTTGGTCTCTTAGCTTTATTTTCTTCTCTAATAGAATGCAAATGCTTCCATTTTGCTCCTATTGGTGGTAAAGTATTAGCTAATGTTTATTGATTATTTACTCATGTACTAGGTACTATGTGCTATGTGCTTTCTTGAATTGTACTTAATCTTTACTACATCTTTGTGAGGTAGGGACTTTTATTATGCCCACTTTACAGAACAGGAACTCTTTTTGTGATAAGAAGTTAAGCAGCCACCCAAAGCGATATGTTAATGCAGCCAGGATTCAGACCCAGGTAGTCTGACTCCAAAATCCTGGTCTTAAGGCCTGAACTTTCCTGTTAGTCCCCATTTACCCCAAATGAGTTGTTTTATTCTCTTGGGAATTTCGTTCTGGTTGTTATGGGCATTTTCCACACAGTCCTGTTAATATCAAATAATGTCATATTTCTAAAAATTTCTTGTATTCTTTTTTTAAGGCTCATCTCTTAGGACCACTGTTCTTAGATGAGAGCAGTGTATTCAGATGAGCAGTTTAGTCAGTGCTTTTGTATGTTGCTAACTTAGCATCATTTCAGTTTATTTTCATTATCTGTTAGCCTAATAGAAATGCAGTATATTTATAATGATTGTATATAGTACTTTTTATGCAGTTGTAAAAATGTATGGTGATCTATAAGACTGAATAATTATGCCTAAGAATTTCTGAGTTTAGATATTGTTCTTGTAGGGAGGACAACTTAGTTATTAAGCACTAGGAATATCAATGTTTTTTCTAGGCAGTACCTTACCTGAATCCAGCTTATCTGGGCCTTTTGGGATCAGAATCAAATGTCAAGCATGCTGAGAATAGCAGGAGTGGAAATTTTCCCGGTGCTGAACAGGGACAATAGGATTTGGTCATGAAAAGAATTTTAGGTAACCTGATTTTCCAAATATTTAGATTTTTCTAATTCTTAGCTGATTTTCATTTGGTTCTCTGCGAAGTTAAAAAGAAAAAAAAAGTGTTCTGTTTCAAATAGATAAGATAGTTTAGATCATTATTTCACCAGATTTAATTTGGGGTTAAGAGGCAACTAAAGAAGGTGAACAGAGGAAACGAGCTCGTTATGTGACCTTATATGAACTCATTGTTCTTATTAATAATATCAAAACATAGGCTTTGTATCTAAGATCTATGACTCACAGAATTACTGTAGCCATATTAATTCATGTACAAAAAACCTTTTCCCAGACTATCCAGATAATTAAAGGAAGAATGAAAGAGGATTAGAGAGATGCAGAGGCAGGGAGGGACACTAATTTATAAAGGTAATTGCCTCGATATTTTTCTTAAATGTTAGAAAGTCTTTATATCCTACTATAAAGAACAAAAAGTTTTTACTAGGGAATGATGGTAATATATTTTCTGTTGTTCTCTTTGTAAAATAATTATTAATTAAAAAAAAAATTTTAAAGTGAGCTGGAAGATTGCCAGTAGAAAGGTAAACCTCTGACTATATAATGGTTTGAATTGATCATTAGTGCTGGAGTCAGAAACTCCCAGCTTAGGGCCAGACTGTTTTACTGTGGCTTTGTAATAAATTTCTATTTCATTTTTCTATTTCTATAATTAGAAAGGCTGTTATTCACCAACATTTTAAAAATCATGATTAAGACTTGTATTACAGTAATGCCTTGACTAAGTAGGAACTTATCAAATGTCACACGAATAATGAGATGATTTTAGATACCTTTGCAACAATAAAGGAATATAGAAATACTGAAACATATCTCACCGAATTTCTAAATAGAGAAATACCTTTGTGCTTGAATGGAAAGGAACTCAGCAGCTCTAGTAGCTCTCTTACAGAGAAAACATAGCTATTAGTTATTTTGGTGACTGATATGTTATATAGACTATTACCTCTGAGGAATGCATACTGTCAAATTACTACTATAGGCATGCTTATAATGGTTCAGAGACTGAATTCTCAGACCGAATCCTCTAATAATAGAGTTTGTGGCAAGTGAAATTAAAATATTCTTAACCATCAGTATTAAAGTCTTGAACTGGTGGGCTCATATGTACTCTAAAAGTATCATCTTAGTATCAATAGGGTATGTTTGATTTTTCAATCAAGGCTTTACTTTTATTTATTGAAATGACATCTGATGTGTATATTAAATATCAAATATTAATTCAGCTGTGATATGAAAAAATTATTTTAAGCATCATGCATGCATGGACCTTTAAAATGCTTTATAACTTGATTAGAACAATAGAATAAGCAGTCATATTTTGGCATACTTTGATATATTTTCATAGATAATTTGTGTTCTCAAGAACATTTTGTGTTATACCTTGTTTTAGTGATCGTGGTGGAGAAGACCCAAACCAGAAAGTAATCCACGGGGTTATTAACTCCTTTGTTCATGTTGAACAGTATAAGAAAAAATTCCCCTTAAAGGTAAAAAGCCTCCTTTAAAAACTTGAATAATCATATATTTAATTTCTTAAATTACTTGTTTTAATTTTTTCAATATTATTTTAATTGATTTATTTAGTTTTATCAGGAAATCTTTGAGTCTCCCTTTCTGACTGAAACAGGAGAGTATTACAAACAAGAAGCTTCAAATTTATTACAAGAATCAAACTGCTCACAGTATATGGAAAAGGTAAGAAAGAAAACATGTTAAGTACATTATCTATTGTATATTCATGGTTTTGTTTAACATTAGTTTTCTTAGTTAAAGTATTTTTTTTGGGTGGAAAAAGTTTGTTTGATCAGTACTCTGAGTAATAGTTAATATATATCATCTATTGATAAATCATCATCCTTGCTGTAGCATTTTTCATGAGAAAAAGTGCTATTCCAGTTTTCATCATGGTTGATGCTTTTTGATAAATCCTGATTGCTTCATTTGCTTGTCTTTAAAACGAATATGTATTCACATTCTTGGCAAAATGATAAACTATTTTATGTTTAGTGGATATGTTTAGAGTACAGGATAAATATAGAAGCTAGATATTTGGGTTTTTATCTTTCTTTAAAATGGGAGAAAAATAAGGAAAAATATAAGTAGATACTTGGATAGGTCACTCCTTTGTCTCTTAAGTTTTTGGAAGGCTAAGAAAAAATTTAACTTCTCCACAAGAAATTATAACTAATCATTAAATCAACACATATTGACTACCATATTTAAAATTCCATATATATTTTTTCAGTAAAAGAATAGTCATAAATTCAGTCATCATACAAGATATATTAGAAATTTTAATGAGGTGTCATAATCTGCAGTATTGGATTTCAAACATTTTGTTTAGCCAAGAAAGATAAAATATAAATTGAATAGCAATAGTCTGCCTCCATAGAAAATAGGTCAAGCAATATCACTACTTACTGATACACTGTTGTATAGTCCATAAAGCCTGGACCCAGAAGTCTGAGCTGTTTAAATCTCTTCCTGCCACTGTCACTAATTAGCCCTGGACAATTGAGTAAGTCATCTAGGACATTTTTCTCCATCTATTAAGTACACATTATATTAAGTCAGTGGTTCTTAGCTTCCAGTCCTTGCATCTGAGACTCGTCAAAGGTCTCGATCCAATCCTGAATTGATCAGTGATATATAACACTTCTCATTATAACTGGCTCTCAAAAAGAGGCAATAAAAGAATTGTATGGTTCCACTTATATAAAATATGTAGACTAAGCAAATTCATAGAGACAAAAAAGGTAAATTAGAAGTTATAGGGAGGGGAGAATGTGGAGTTACTGCTTATAGTTACAGACTTTTTGTTTGGTGTGATGAAAAAGTTTTGGAAATAGTTGTACATTGTGAATATAATTAGTGCCACTTAATTATACATTTAAAATGGTTAAAATGGCAAATTTGATATATATATTTTGTCACTGTTTTAAAAACACTAATAATGTAATATACCAAAACATTGAATTGCACACTTTAAATTTGTGAATCATATGATATGTAAATTACATTTTAAACTGTTAAAAGGAGGGCTATTAGAAATTATGTTTGGAAAATAGCGTTTATAAGAGTAGTTTATTTAGTTAACAGACTAATTTTTGTAGCCTTCCTACTTCCCTTTCTATGTCTTTCCTCTAATTTTGGCCTTTTCCCCAGTGGTTTTATAACTATGTAGAGCCCTGCATTGAGACACTACAACCTTGTTGATAACTACCCCAGCCCCCAGCCTCACCCCACACCCAGTTATAATTGTTTTATGTTTTTATTTTTCTTATTCTCCTTCACCTTCCTCAGGCCCACACTCTCATTCTCATTGCATTTAGTTAATTCGTAAATAGATTAAAGTCGCTTATAGTATGCTATAAATGACTAATAGTCATATCCTTTCAAGAACTTTTAAAAAAAATATTTGTTGACCAAATGACTTTCTTAGTTGATAAAATATGTGGTATATGCAATATACATATGATATGTTATTGAATTGTACATTTGAAACCTATTTGATTTTATTAACTAATGTCACCCAGTAATTTTAATTTAAAAAAACATGTGACAAACACCTTTTAATCTGGACCCCTTCTTGCCCATCTTAGGTTTCTATGAATTTGCCCTGAACTCCTGGCTCCACAGGGTAGCACAGTGGGAAAGATAGAACTATGTGTCTCTCCTCAGTCTTGAGCCTCATTTTCATCAAAAAATATCTGAGAGGTATCCAGGAATGATGTCTTATTTTCCCCCTCAACACCATCTTCCCTCCTAACATCACCTTCTTATGCCCAGACAAACTCAGCAGTACTTCCCAAAGGCTTAAATGCACATAGTTCCCTGGGAACAGTTAAGTTCAGAAACTCTAGTTACATTAGCTTCACGTTATAGAATATTTTAAAAACCTAAACATTTGTATGTGTATGTGCTATGCTAGCATGATTTTCAGATATAGTTTTATTTTGAGGTAGAGATTAGCCAAATTCTTTAGCTGTTATCTTTGTTAGTTCTTGTTTATGTTAACCAGTGTATTGTTTGTAGCTCAGTGCTTTTTAAGTAGCATGAGCTTTAATAAAGGTCTTGATTGACATATTTAACTATAACTATATATATTTTGACTTTTAAAAATTTCAGTGAAATCTTTACTGTAATAGTTAACTCTCATGTACGTACCGTTTACATTTACATTTTATAAGAAGAGGAACCAACGGAAAATAATCTACTTGATCCAGTTAATGTAAATTACTTTTTAGATTAATAGTTAAATATTCATAAGTGACCACCTGTTTTGGTTTTAAATAATCTTTACCCTCTCTTCCTGTTGCTTATTAGGTTCTCTGTATAATAGGATGATCAGGGTCAGTAAATGAAGACAAAATGCAGATCATGTAATTTTAGTTCTTGTTCATAAGACTGTGAAGAAATGTAGGTGATAGCTGGTAGCATAAATAAAATTTGAAATGGTTTATGGATGTGGGTTTAAATTGGTTATGTAATCTTTATTTGTTGCATGGCCATGTTTAATTGAGCCATTAAAATTAAGCTACCTAAGTTACTACTGATATTAGTTTTTTTCTCATAGTAGTTTATGACTGTAAGAATATATTTCTAAAGGTTCTAGGTAGATTAAAAGATGAAGAAATTCGATGTCGAAAATACTTGCATCCAAGTTCATATACTAAAGTGATTCATGAGTGTCAGCAACGAATGGTAGCAGACCACTTACAGTTCTTACATGCAGAATGTCATAATATCATTCGACAAGAGAAAAAAAATGGTAAGTGATATGAAACGTGAATTAAGTTATAAACCCACTTTTTACATGGTCTTCAAGTTACCTTAGATTTCAAGTATATTTTAGTAATAGTCTCTAAAATAGTCAATATGCCTTTTTACAGATTATTAATAACATATTTTGAAAGATTATTTTGGAAAAGTATATTTTCAAAGTGTATTCTAAAGTCAGAAGAAAAGCTGGGAAAATGTGTTCGTACAGTTTTATGTATCACAAGGGCTAATTTCCTTAATACGTAAAGAGTTCTAATAAATAATAGAAAAAAAAGGCAAAATATGGAAAGGAAATATAAATGGATTTTAATATATGGAGATGCTCAGTCTCAAAATAGATGAAATACAAAATAAAAATACAATGAGATGCTAGCAATAAGCAGTGAAAAAATGGATTTTTTTTTAGAATATGAAAATAGCATTAAGAATTTTCAAATAGCAGGGAATAATCCTAACAAGATATGTGCCAGATCTATATAAAAAACTAAACATTGTTGAAAGCAACATTGATTTATAGATCCAGGGTGATCTACTCAAAACCAAAGTTTTTTTTTTAATTCTAAAAGTTACACTCTTAGACTAAAAGTAGTCAAGACAGTGTTAAGACCACGATGGGAAAACTTTGCAAGATAGCACAACATCAAAAACCACAATAATGAAGACAATGAGGCATTCGTGCAAGGATAAACAAATAGACCATTGGAGTAAAATAGCCTAGAAATAACCCACGTATATATAGATAACTTGATTTAAGACCAAGGGGGAACTGCAGAGCAGTTGGTGGAAGATAAGCTTTTCAACACATAGTGCTGAGTTCACTGGATACTCTTTTGGGAAAAAGGTGAAATTTGATCTCTATTCCAGATACCATATACAAAATCAGTCTTTTAATCTAAATGTAAAACAATAACACTTTTAGAAGATAATATAGGAGAATAACTTCATGATCTTGAGGTAGGGAAAGGTATTTTAAATAAGACAACACAAAGATTGATCAAGTGGACTGCATTAAAATTAAGAACTTTGGAGCATCAAAAGATAGTCATAGGGTATTAATATATTTGCAAAGACTGAAAAAGTTTTATGCTCAGAACATAAAATGATCAAGTCATTTGAATAGGCACAGAGAGTAGAGGATATCCAAATGGCCAATAAGCATGTAGAAAGGCACTCAATCTTATTCAAATAAGGAAAGGCAAATTAAAACCACACTATGATATCAGCACTTACATTTTGATGTAAAATTTGAAAGACTGAAAGTAATCAGTGTTGGGAAGCACGTGGAGTAGTGGGAACTTGTTATACACTGAACTGAGAATATAACTTGATGCAACCACTTTGAAAAGCTGACATTAACTGCAAACTCTAAATATATGCATATCTTATGATCTAGCCATTCCTCTCTTCCAGATATATAATCCCCGGCCAATGTGCATGCATATATGTACAAAAAGACATGTACAAGAATGTTCATGGCAGCATTATTTGTAATAGCCCCAAACCGGAAACAACTCAAATGTCCCATAACAGTAGAATGGATAAAGTATGGTATTTCATACAATAGACTATTACAGAAGAGTGAAAATGAACAAATTACATCTACATATAACAACATACATATGTAAACCTTATAAACATGTTGAACAAAAGAAACTAAACATGAAAGAATTGTATGATTCCATTTTTTCAATAGTTCAACATAGGCAAAACTAATCTGTGGTGTAGTACTTATGACAGTGATTACCTTTGCAGAAGAGCAAGAGGAGTAGTGATTGGGAAGAGGTGTGAAGGGGACTTCTAGGTGTAGGTAATGTTTGTTTCTTACCCTGGGCGGTGATTACATGGGGATGTGTGTGTGTTCACTTGTGATAGTTCATTGAAATATACAGTTTTGGTTTATACACTTTTTTTTATGTATGTTATACTTCAATAAAAAGTTTATAAACCGCTACACTGAGACCTCATTTTTCACCTCAGTGGCAGAGATCAACACATTTGATAACATACTGTTGGCATTGGAGCTCCCTGCTCTTGAGAGATTTGTTTAGAAGGATCCTTCTAGAAAATTAAGCTTTGATACAGTAATCCCACTTCTAGGGATTTATACTATAGATATTCTTGTCCATATACAGAATTAGTAATTGTAACATCATAATATCAAGAGACTGGAAACAACCAAATTTCCATCAGTTAAGTAATTGTAATGTAGCCGTATAACAGAGTGCTTTGCAATTGTAAAATATTAGGAAACACTCTATATACTGATATAAAAAGATCTCTAAGTTAAAATGTTGTGTTCTGCAGTTGCAAATGATACATAAAATACATTACACTATTTTTATAAAAAGGGACAGAGGGAAGAATATGTGTATTTGCTTGAATGTGCATGAAACAACTTCGAAAAGATATTAAACAACCACAGTATCTCTTTCCCGTGGGGAGGAGAACTGGGTGGTTGGGAGGCAGATGTGAGGGACTATCTCTGCATACTCTTTTGTAATTCTACATTTTGAACCATACATTACCTAATATATTAAAAAGATTGTCGAACTCTTTGGTAATTTAATAATCAAATTTTTTTTCCCTTCAGACATGGCAAATATGTATGTCTTACTCCGTGCTGTGTCCACTGGTTTACCTCATATGATTCAGGAGCTGCAAAACCATATCCATGATGAGGGCCTTAGAGCAACCAGTAATCTTACTCAGGAAAATGTGAGTTATGTAAAGAACTGGAAAATATTTTTCTTAATCAGATTATCATGTGGTTTTTTTTTTATTTACTGTTATAAACCTTGAAAGAAAAGTTCTACTATGCCAATAAATAAAACATCTTTATTAAAATATTTTAAACCTAGAGTTTGTTGGACACATTTTGGAATTATCAAATTATTAGAAAATTATTGAATGAAATAGGCTGCTTCTTAGTTAAACACTGATGTGTTCATTTAACAATTATTAATGAACCTCATAAAAAATATGTTTGCTGTTGCTAAATGTGCTTCTGTGTAGCTGGCGTTAATAGTTGTAGTGGTACTGGAATTAATCAACGGTAATACAGACAACTCACAATTAGCTGTCTTTACATATGCTCTGAATTTGGTAGCCCAGGGGCACATTTAGATTAAAATAAACTTCCCAAAATATATGATTGCTCCTGCAAAGTACTCATAAATATTAGTGACCCTCATGTCCCTAATATCCATCTTTCTTAAAAGAGTTCCCTGCTAATCAAATGACTATTTATAACAAGGCATCTTTCCTATCAAATTGTGTTCTTATCAAATCTTATTTGATGGCCTTCCTTGTTTTTACTAGTGATAGTTGATAAATAGAATAGACATGACATGACATGTTTCTTCTTTTTTTGCGTAGAACTATTTGCTTATCATCTATACTGCAGTAATTTATGTATAGACATCACTGTTCAGGGGCATTTATTAGATGCTCATCACCTTAATTGTAGATTTACTTGACTTTGGCAAATAATCATTAGATTTTATGTCTTGCCATAGTGATATACAAAATTTCGATTTTTGTACAACTGTTAGTTTATATTGTTCAGGTTTATTAGTTTGTGTTATTTATTAGGTTTATTTTATTAGTTTTTACATATTCAGGGTGTTAAAAGACATTGGGCGTAGGAGCATAGAGTTTAGTGTCAAGGACTGGGCAATAGAAATACAAGAGAATGCATTTGTAGTAAACTCAAATAATTTTAGCTCACTTAGTTAAGTCTTAGGTACTAACTTTATATTTAATGCCATTAAAAGTAAAAATCACTTTTGCACTAGTATTTCTTCTCTCTGAGATGTGGGGAATTGCCCAGCTCCAGGGTCTCAGTTTTCTCAGATACTGGCTTTTGAACTCTGCTCTCTCTCTGAGCCTTCAGTGGCTTTGAAGGCAATTTTTGTTTATATAATCCTCTATGAAAGTGATAGGCCTAGTGATTCAGAGATTGTATCTTTTTACCCTTAAGATATGGTATTCCATCACCAGAGAGAAATGTGTTTTTAATGGATTCTTCTGGCAGAGAAACTATAGTCCTGCATTTATGATGTTCAGTGACAGCTAATTTCAACCTCAAAATTTGAGATTTTTAAGACTATTTTAGCTAAAAACATTTTTGAGGGTATGCATGCATGTATAACATTAATTGGCTTGGGGGAAATTTTATTCTTAATTAAATAACTCTTTAATAAGCCTCATTATATCTTTGAACTTCTTAAAATGTGTTTTTGTACTTTGTATTTTATATTTCTAGATGCCAACACTATTTGTGGAGTCAGTTTTGGAAGTACATGGTAAATTTGTTCAACTTATCAACACTGTTTTGAATGGTGATCAGCACTTTATGAGTGCATTGGATAAGGTAACTTTTTAAATTTATATATATAATGTCTATTTCTACAGATGCTTCTTGACCTACAATGAGGTTTTATCCTGATAAATCATAAGTTGAAAATGCATTTGTACACCTAACCTACTGAACATAAAAGCTTAGCCTAGCCTACCTTAAATGTGTTCAGGACACTTACATTAGCATATATTTGAGCAGACTCATCTAACACAATGAATACAGTGCAGAGTATCAGTTGTTTACCCTTATGATTGCATGGCTGACTGTGGCTCACTGCTGCTGCCCAGCATCACAAGAGAGTATTGTACCTCATATCACTAGCCCTGGAAATGATCACAGTTCAAAATTTTAAGGACAGCTTCTACTGAGTGCTTATTGCTTTAATACCACCGTAAACACGAAAATCGTAAGTCGACCATCTTAAGTTGGGGAATGTCTGTATATATACAGTTAACCCTTGAACAACGCAGGGGTTTGAGGCACCAGTACTCCTCACAGTGCAGTTGAAAATTTGCTGTAACTTTTTACCCCCCTCCCCAGAACTTCACTGCTGATAGCCTATTGATATTACCAGAAGCCTTACTGATAATGTAGTCGACTAACACATATTTTGTATGTTATATGTGTTATATATGGTATTCTTACAATCATAAACTAGAGAAAAGGAAATGTTATTAAGAATATCATAGGGAAGAGAAAATACATTTACAACATTTATTGACAAAAAATTGGGTAAAAGTGGACCCATGTAGTTTAAACCTGTGTTGTTCAAAGGTCAACTGTAATTCTCTTTATTTACATACTATTCTTCTTTTCTTAATTTTAAAGAAATTTTTCAATTATAGTTGACATTCAATATTATATTAGTTTTAGATATACAGCTTAGTGGTTAGACATCTATATAACTTAAGAAGTGATCCCCTGATAAGTCTTGCACCCACCTGACACTATACATAGTTATAATATTATTGACTATATTCCCTGTACTGTGCTTTCCATCCCTTGACTGTTTTGTAACTACCAATTTATATTTCTTAATCCCCTCACCTTTTTCACCAACTCCCCTCCCATCTGGGAACCATCACTTTGTTCTCTGTATCTATGAGCCTGTTTTTCTTTTGTTTATGTGTTTATTTTGTTCTTTAAATTCCACATGAAAGTGAAATCATATGGAATTTGGCTTTCTCTGTCTTATTTTACTTAGCATAATACCCTCTCGGTCCTTCCACGGTGGAAATTGTAAGATTTCATTCTTTTTTATGGCTGAGTAATATTCCATTATATATATGTACCACTTCTTTATACATTTGACTTTTGACTGGAGCATTTAATTTGTTCATATTTAAAGTAATTATTGATAGGTATATAGTTATTGCCATTTTATTAATCATTTTATGATTGTTTTTGTAATTCTCTGTTCCTTTCTTATTCTCTTGCTCTCTTGTATGTTGATGACTTTCTATGGTGTTATGTTTGGATTCCTTTATTTCTTGTATATCTCATAGATTTTTGGTTTGTGGTTACAATGTACTTCATATATACTAAGCTGTGTTTACAGCAGTCGATTTTAAATTGATGGTCCCTTAAGTTCGAACACATTCTAAAATCACTATCATTTTTACTCACCCTCCTACATTTGTTTTTGTCATTATTTTTTACTTCTTTTATGTGTATATTTGTGTGTATCCCTTAATTTACTCTTGTAATTATTCATGATCTTCCTGCTCTTGCCTTTTAACCTTTGTACTAGTGTTGGTTGGTCCACTGTTTTTATTATGTGTTTGCCTTTGTCAATAAGAACTTTTTTCTTTGTGATATTTTCTTACTCATATCTCAATTTATTTTTCTTCTTCTTAAAGAAGTCCCTTTAACATTTCTTGGAATACTATTTTGCTGGTGATGAACTTCTTCGGCTTTTTCTTGTTGGAGAAGCTCTTTGTTTTCTCTTTCGATTCTAAATGATAGTCTTGCTGGGTAGAGTTATCATGGTTGTGGGTCCTTGCTTTTAATCATTTTTTGAATATTTTGTGCCAATCCCTTGTAGCCAGCAAAGTTTCTGTTGAGGAATCAGCTGACAGTCTCATGGGAGCTCCTCGTAGGTAACTAACTGCCTTTCTCTTGCTGCCTTTAAGAGTCTCTCTTTGTATTTAACCTTTGACATTTTAATTATGATATGTCTTGGTGTGGGCCTCTTTGGAATAATCTTATTTGGGACTCTCTGTACTTCCTGGACTTGTATGTCCATTTCCTCTGCCAGGTTAGGGAAGTTTTCGGTCATTATTTTTTCAAATAAATTTTCAGTCCTTTGCTCTCTCTCTTCTCCTTCTGTTACCCCTATGATGCAAATGTTGATATGGTTGATATTGTCCCAGATGCCCCTTAAACTGTTCTTATTTTTTTTTTGCTGTTTTGATCTTGCTGTTTTCTGCTACCTTATCTTCCAAATCACTAATTAACCTAATCTGCTGTTAATTCCCTCTAATGTATTCTTTATTTCAGTTATTGTATTCTTCATATCTGACTGATTCTTTTTTATGTTTTCTATCTCTTTGTTGAAGTTCTCACTAAGATCATCTATTCTTCTCCTGAATTCATTGAGTATCCTTATAACTAGTGTTTTGAACTCTGCATCTGGTACGTTGCTTGTCTCCATTTTGTTTAGTTCCTTTCCTGGAGTTTTTCCTGTTCTTTCATTTGGGATATTTCTTTGTTTCATTTGGCTGCCTCTTTGAGTTTGTTTCTATGTATTAGGTAGATATGCTATGTCTCCCAGTCCTGGCCACGTGGCCTTATGTAGCATGTGTCCTGTGGGGCCCAGTGGCTCAGTCTCCCTGTTAATCTGAGCCAAATGCTCCAGAGTGTCCCTTGTGTGGATTGTGTGTGCTTTCCTGTTGTAGTCGAGTCTTGATTCCTTTTGGCAGGCACATCAGTGGGTAGAATTGACCCTCAGGCTGACTGGCTGTGAGGACTGGCCCTGACTACAGCAGACAAACTGTTGTGTGGAGGTTGACCCCATGGAGTGGAATTCGCTTTACTAGGTCTCTGGTACCTGCTGAGCCTTTGGGTGTGTTGTTTGTGGCGCTAATTGGGTGGTACTCTGGTTTGGTTTGAAGCCGGCCACCAGGTATACTGGTTCTGAAGCCTCTTGGGAGGGGTTCCAGTGCAGGCCAAGGTCAGATACTGCCTGTGCCCAGCCTGGGGCTACCTCCTAGGAGCTACAAAGTGATCTGTGGTTGGTATCTGCCTTTGCTGGGCTTAGAGGTGCCTAGGATGGTTATGCTGTGAACCTAGGCTGGCTACTACTAGTGCTAGACTTGAGGCTGCTTCGCAAGTGATAGAAGGTGTGCCAAGGCCAGCTGCTGCTTGTTTGCAGCTTGTGAACGTTTGAGAGATTTTAGGAAAATCTGTGGCATGGGCCCACGCCAGTGGCATATATGCATTAGCCTTTGAAAGAGGTTTGGGCTGGATGCATGAATTTCGTAGGACAAGGTCTCAGAGAATCACTAGACTGGAGTGAGAATGGTGTTAGTCAGTTTGATGGAAATTCAGTTGATGAAGACACAGTTGGCATCTTCCTATTCCTGTAGGCTGTGTGTGGGGAGGGCTCAACAAAGAAACAGTGTTGCCTGCCAGCTTTTTAGTCCAGAAGAGAGCTGCCCCTCCAGCCCTTTCCTTGAAGCCAGACAATTCAGTTCTTCCCCATATGCTCCTGGTGGTTTTTGAATGGTTGTCTCTTCTATTGAGCGTAGGGCAAGTATTTGTGAGTGATTGATTCTGTGCTCAGGACCTTTATGAGGTCTACAGCAGCCCTCTGTCTTACCCAAACTGAGTCTTTCCTGATTTTCACAGCCAGATGTTGTGGGGGCTTCTTTTCCTGGCACTGGTGCACTGGGCTGGGGTGCCCAGTATGGGTCTGAGCAGCCCAGTGTGGGGTTGGGACCTCTCGTTCCTCAGTGGAAGTCAATTAACTGCCACATGAGTGCGAGACCAGCCCGTTTCATATCTCCACCCCTCTTACCAGTCTCAAAGTGGCTTCTTCTTCATACCCTTAGTTATAGCAGTTCTGTTCAGCTAGTCTTCAGGTGATTCTCAAGGGTGGTTGTTCTATAATTTAGTTGTTATTATGTTATCGTGGGAGGAGGAGAGCACAAAATTTATTTATTTTGCCGTCTTGATCAGAAGCCTACTTATTATTCTTTAAGGCAGTTTTAGAATTAGGGCTTCTAATTACAAGATTTCTAATCTAGATGTGAAGAGTAATCTTAAGTAACTAATTTAAATATAAAAAAATAGTTATAATGTAACTTTTAAATTAATAACTGAATGGTTAAATTGAATGTTCGAATTATGAGAATTGAGTTTTGCATAATTATGCTGTATCAGGAGAATTGCTAATAAACTAGTATGTTCAGAAAAAACTTGTGTACTATTCTTTAGTGCTGATTTTTTTCTTTGAATATAATACTTAGTCTATGTTGAATAATGTTTGAAAAAAAATAAATGTATTTTACAAACTTGAATTTTGGTATACTTTAAATGAATTTTACTTCCATGGTTGTTACAAGATTTTAAAAAGGATATAGCCTTATTTTATCTATATTTCAATATCACTAATGAGTTACAATAGCTTTTAGTAGGAATGGAATATGTAATTATCGTGAGGGTGACACTTAGAAGAGTTTACCCTGTGTTAGATATGAAAACAAAATTAACAAACTTACCAAATGCTGTGGTTTCTTTTGTGGGTTAATAATTTATGGACATACAGATTATAGCATATATTGAACCAGCTGTACTTTTACCTTATTATTGGTGGCTAATTACTGGCCTGTTTTCAATTTAGGCCCTCACATCAGTTGTAAATTACAGAGAACCCAAGTCTGTTTGCAAAGCTCCTGAATTGGTAAGTTTGATGATTACTTAAAAATAATCTTATGAAATATTACTATTAGAAAATGAACACCGAGGAGAATGTCAAATTAATTTGTTTTTGTAGCATTTTTGAGAAAAAAAAACAAATGAAATTAAATTATTAAAAATAAAATTATTATCTACATCATATTGGCATTTAAAGAATGTAGTAGAATGCAGTAGGCCACATACTACAGCCTTTTCTTAAGAAATAACTGAAGGAGAAAATATTCCATTTTATGAAGTTTGGGTTTTAGAGTATGTCTGCTCTAAAATAATTTGCATTGCTTCTCACAGAGATTTTATTTTATCTGAAATCTAAAGGAAATTTGGTGATAAATTTTTTATAATCATTAAAGGAAACTTAATTACAGTGTTATTGTAAGAGTAAAAAAAGTACTTGTTTAAAGTCAAAAGTTATAGAATTGCTCAAAACTCATCTAGGTTTTTTTTTGAAACATATTACTTATATCAATGCTTTATTGGTAACTAAGTGTTGATTAGATTTTGACTTAGTCATAGTTTTTTTTAAATTGCCTTATGACATACATTTTAAGTTCTTTAGTGCATGTTCATGATTTTTAAAACATAAGCTTTAGGATGCTAGATACCATGTCCATTGATCTTATTTTGTACTGATGTCATTTTGCTTCCTTTGAGGCTTATGTACAGAAGGGCCCTTTATAAGATTTACTGTCGCTTTCTCTTTGAGCTTGCTAAGTACTGTGACAACTTACTAAAGAAATCAGCGAAGGGGATGACTGAGAATGAAGTGGAAGACAAACTCACCAGCTTCATTACTGTTTTCAAATACATTGATGATAAGGATGTTTTTCAAAAGGTAAGTTTTGAATAGAGAAGCTTTATTTGTGTTTTAGTCAGCTTTGATTTATTTTTGAACTTTAAATCATCAGAAGGCAAGTAATCTTAAAAATACTTTTTTTAATACAGTTCTACGCAAGAATGCTGGCAAAACGTTTAATTCACGGGTTATCTATGTCTATGGATTCTGAAGAAGCCATGATCAATAAATTAAAGGTAATATAAGCCTTTGATCTTCAATGTCCTAGAAATTATTCTACTAGCACAGAAGGATATTTATTGCAGAATTATATATAACAAAACAATTCATCAATAGGTGACTGGTTAAATGTATAATAGGTTAAATGTATATTCATATGATGGGATATGCAAATACTGTTAAAAGGACAAATCTCTATATATATATTGATATGGAATCATTCACAAGATAAAGTGTTAAATTTACAAAAGATGTGTATTACTCATAAATGAATACACCTAAAGTATTCCTTTAAGTACAAGTTTTGTAGTGCAATTGAATTTGTTTATTTTTACATCATTTTAGCTTACACATTGATAAGTAGTAGCTGATTCATTTTTATCCTGATTATTCAATAGTTGATAATTTTTCTGTATAGTAGACCATAGGGTTAGCAATAGTAAAACATTCTTATTAATCAGTATGGTTTATTATTTCCCTTTTTAAATTGTGTATTTTAAAACTTTGTTTTTTTTACAGCAAGCCTGTGGTTATGAGTTTACCAGCAAGCTACATCGGATGTATACAGATATGAGTGTCAGTGCTGACCTTAACAATAAGTTCAACAATTTTATCAAAAATCAAGACACTGTTATAGATTTGGGGATTAGTTTTCAAATATATGTTCTACAGGTATGAATATGTAGTTTATTGTGGACATTTACTAATAATTTCAAGTACTCTGATACAAAGACTTAATAAATGGATGCTTGCTTACATTTCTTTCAATTAACATATTATAGTTTTTTAAGTTATATTGATTTGGAATGAAATGTTCCATGATAGTAATGCCAATAGGTTTTATCAGCATTTTGAGGAAGAAAAAAAGAGGTGCTTTAGTTGGTTAAATCATTTTATTAATATTTACTTTCAAGTTAGATGGTTATATATTTAATTTTTTTATTTTGCCTTTTTTCTTCTAGGCTGGCGCATGGCCTCTTACTCAGGCTCCTTCATCTACATTTGCAATTCCCCAGGAATTGGAAAAAAGTGTACAGATGGTGAGTTTGCAGGAAACATATTAGAAGACCTAAGGAATTTTAATAATTGTCTTCATGTTATGTCACTTTAAATATTTTTCCAAAGTCTTAACAGCTTGTGTGTTATAAAAATACATTCACAAACTATAGTTAATATACCTTGGAGGAAGAATATAAATTATTATAGTTACTAAGGGTGTCATACACTTCTTTGTCAAAGCGTGTCTCTTATTCTTAGTAAAATTATTATGTACTCTTAAGCAGTTTTAAGTTATAAAAATTTTGATATTAGAAGAAAGTTTAGAACCTAATAGTAAAAACAATCACTTTCTAACTTTTTATTTCAATTTCAAGTCATTTTTTTTACCTCATTTGACCCTTGTAGTTATTTTGACTTCTGGGCTGTAATTTAGGTAAATATATATGGACTGTGGAATATTCTAGGAAAATGGATTGAAATAGGAGAATTCAAATAAAAATTGCCTTAACATGTGACTGAATAGAAACCTTAGAATGCTTATTCAAAAGCTTTTAAAGAGACTGTAGAGACTGGATCCTTGGCAGCTTTATTGAGCTATAATTTATATACCATATATCTTAGTCTATTCAGGCCTCTGTAACAAAATGCCACAGACTGGGTAGCTTATAAACAACAGAAATTTATTTGTCACAGTTCTGGAGCCTGGAATTCTGAAATCAGGGTACCACGCGCCAGGCTCCTGTTCAGGTCACACACTTCTTGTTGTATCACATGGTGAGGAAGGGGCTAGGGAGCTCTGTGGAGTATTTTATATTAGTACTGATCCCATTCACGAGGGCTCTACCGTCGTGATTTAAATCATGTCCCAAAGGCTCCACCTCCTAATACCATCACATTAGGCATTAGGATTTCAACATATGAATTTGGGAGGACACAGATATTCAAACCATAAAACTCTAGGATTTACTAATTTAAAGTATACAATTTCAGTGGTTTTTAGCATATTCACAGAGTTGTGCAGCTATCACCACAATTCATTTTAGAATATTTTTATTAACCAAAATTGCTGCAAAAGAAATCCCCTATGCAGAGTCCACTACCACTACCACTGTGTCTCAGCTTTGGTGCAGGTAGCGGCCGTCGCTGGGACAGCTGTGCTGCTGACCATCCCCAGGCAACATGTTGAAAGTCGTTGACAACTATCCACACTTGCCAAATACATCCCATTCTCCACATCCAGTGTGAGGTCCTTCCAGGTACAAAGTGGACATCATGGCTGAGAAGTTTGACTGCCACTACTGCAGGGACCCCATGCAGGGGAAGGAGAACATGGAGAAAGATGGCCACCACTGCCCCCTGAAGTGCTTTGACAAGTTCTGTGCCAGCACCTGCGTGGAATGCCGCAAGCCCATCAGTGCGGACTGCAAGGAGGAGCACTCTAGGAACTGCAATTGGCATGACACCTGCTTCTGCTGTGCTAAGTGCCCTCACTTCTTGGCCAATGAGACCTTTGTGGCCAAGAACAACAAATTCTTGTGCAACAAATGCACCACAGGGGAGGAGTCCGTCAAGTGCAAGGGCTGCTTCAAGCCGATTGTGGCAGGAGATCAGAACATGAAGTACAGGGGACTGTCTAGCACAAAGACTGCTTAACCTACAGCAATTGCAGGCAAGTCATCAGTACTGGAAACATTTTCCCTAAAGAGAAGAACTTCTACAGCATGACTTGCTATGAGGCCACATTTTCCACGTGTTGCATGAAGCGCAACAAAGCCATCCCATCTGGAGGAATCATTATCAGGATCATCAGCCCTGGCCTGCCAACTGCTTTGTGTGTGTTACCTGCACTAAGATGCTGACTGGGCAGCGTTTCACCACTGTGGAAGCCTAGTATTACTGCGTGAATTGCTCCAGGAACTTTGTGGCCAAGAAGTATGCTGGATGCAAGAACTCTATCGGGAAAAGGAGTGACCACCCAGTCTCTAAAGTTAGGAAGTTCCCAGTGTGTCACGGGAAATGCTTACCTCTCACCCAGTTTCCCAGCACCAACCTCCAGGGCAACTTGGAGAGAGGACTTGTCCTTTATGGTGGTGGCTCTTATAGAAAAATCGAAGCTTAGAATCTCCGTGAGGCCTGGGTTTAGTAAAGACTCCAGTGTGGTGGCTTATGAAGGACAATCCTGCTGCTTCACTGCAAAAATGCTCCATGAGCCTGGCCAGCAAGCACTTTGTTTTCCATCAGGAGCAAGTATATTGCCCAACTGTACTAAAAAGCTATAAAGTGACAGGGGCGCCTGTCCTATAAAATGAAATTGAATCTTTTTCGTGTCCTTGCCCTCTGTCCTGCACCATCTATAGGTAAAGAATGGCCTTTCATCTCTTCAAAGTTGCTCAGTCTGTCTTTTCTCTCATTTTACAGTATTACTCAAATAAGGGCACACAGTGATCATATGCAAAAAGCAACTCCGCAGCAAAGTTAATTTTGTGACAGCTACAGTTAAAAAACAAACACTTAGATTTACTCTTCTGCTTGTTCATCATAGAGCAGAAAAATGCTAACCATTTAGCTGCTTAGTGATGAAAGCAAGAAGCCTAAGAGATAAAGCCCCCACTGAGATGCCCTTTGTGGCTCAGCAGGGACCCACCGTGACCTCACATGACACACAAAAGTGGCAGCAGCTGCTCCAACTCACTGCTCACCCTGTTCTGTGAGTAGAAAGAGAACTTAGCAAAATGCATGGTTTAACTTCTTCATCAGGAACTTTCTTCTGTTCTTTTGTGCTTTTGAATGAATAATACGAATTTCTAGAAAATTAACTTTTGAACTTAGCTGTGATTCCAAACTGACTTTTCCCCTGTACTAATGTTTGAGTTCACACGTGGCGTGTTTTCTGAACATTCCTACTTTCAGGCATGGAACATGCATATGACTTGGAGAGTATAGGCAGATCCGAGAAAATGAGCCTGTTTCAGAGGAACATCATCACAGCAAATACTTCTGGGAGCTTAACAAAACTAACCCAGTTGTGTTTTTTTAAAAAAATAATATATTTTTTAAATTAATAGTAACATAGTTTATGGGTTTGGAGACTTGCATGAAAACATTTTAGCCCCCTCAAATGTTCCTTCAGTTTTGAAATCATCCTACAGATGTAAAAATAAGATGCTAGAGGGGTACCTTAGCAGGCACCAGGACTGTCACTTACATGGCTGTAACAGTTCCAAACAATGAGTTGAATTCCTTGTAACAGTAGTTGTCTGCCCTTTGTCCGTGTGTTATAGAGGCCCACCATATCTTTTCTCTTGTGATTCTTAGGACTGTTCCTCAAGAGCTTAGCTGGATATCTGATGAGGTAGTGGGGAGGCCACTGTCCTCATAGGCAGGACAGGATTTCCATGTAGTGCTTACGTGAGATGCAGGCTCACCTACTTGCTGTACTCGATCTACATTGTTATATTACATAGTAGAATGAGATGATATCAAAAGTGAACATGTAATGACAATGCACATTAACATTCTCATAGCAATGATTAGAGAAGCTGATGCCTCATTTCTACATTTTATCATTAGGGATTATTATCTGATGTTTCAGTGTGTCCATTGTATGGGTATACCACATTTTTAGTAAATGACTAACGCTGCTGTGAACATTTATATACAAATTTTTGAGTGGACGTGTTTTCATTTGTCTTAAAACTGACCCTTTTTGATTCTCTAACTCACCAAAAAAGGCTTCTTATTTCTTGATGGGCTTGAAGTTGGGTAGCATTTTTTTCCTAGAGAAATCTTCATTACTTTTTAATAGTTCCTGATTTGGCAGTGTTTTGATATTGTGAACCATTGAGTTATACATACATTTAAGAAGTTTAAAAAGAAAATGGTATTTGATTACACTGTTTCCTAGAGATGTTCACAAATGATAATTTGAACCATTTCTTAAATATGTTATTTTTGTTACTTTCAAAGTAAAGGTTATAAATAAAATAACAGTGTAGTCTCTGGAATCATAATTCCTGGTTTTGAATGTCTTTTCTGCCATTTACTATGCTCTGTGACTTTGGGCAAATAACTTTTAAATTTTTTGTTAACTGATAATAGTACTTTATACAAACTAGTTTATTTAAAGATGAAATGAAATCATGTACAGCACTAAAGCACTTAACTTGGTATACAATAAGAACTCACTAAGCGGTAGCTGATAGTAGAAGTCATGGTTATAGTAATATTGGTAATAGAGTACTCTGAACAGCCAGGCGGATTTCAAGTTATCAGGCATAATAGGAGTATAATCCAGGACTTTTTGCGTCTTCTTAGAAAAGGCATTAAAGCGCAAACCATCTTAGAAACCATATGAAGAAGAGCATTCATTTGGATGAGTAGAGTATGAACCCAGGTTATTGTAAATTTTGAAGAAAGGATAGATGCAAGCTAGGGGCAAGGGTTGTGGTAGCCACCTTTGACTTAAAAACATTTCTTCATAGGAGCTTGCTCTTCCATTTGAAATTAAGGCAGAGTGGGGGCTGGCAGAAACAAAGTTTTCTTCTAACTTTGTTTTCTTCTCTTTCTCCTTGAAATAATTATTTTCCAGTATTGGTTTTTCAATCCCATAACTTTTATTTATTAATGCATGACCTTCATCAAGTTTCAGTTTTCTCATTTACAAACAGGAAATGGGTTTCTTTCCGACTATAAAATTATGCTTTCATAATATTGTTCTGTCCATTTGGGTTTTCTCTAATTACCAGTAGAGGGAGTTTGCCTCATATTTTTTCCTAGTAAATACAAGTTTTCAGTTACACAGGAATGAAAATTCATTGGTGTGTACTTAATAGTATACATTTTTCACATGTAAATTAATTCATCTGGCCTTAGTTGATCATTTATATTTTTTATATCTTAATCTTAGGTATAGCTGTTTATCAAAAATTGCTTTTCATTTTACACATATGTATCTTAAAACTATTGAAATTAAGATTTAATTAAAGGTAATTTATTTTGTTCATTAGACCAGTAAATTTTAATTGTTAGATTTCTTTTGTTTACCTAGTCCACAAACCTAAATAATACTAAAGAAATATAAAGTAGTGTATATTAGTGCAGCTCTCTGTTAGAAGTGTATCAACTCTGAATACAAAATGTTAATTTTTAAGGCCCTTTGAGTTCTAATTACGCCTTCAAATGGTATGTGAAAGATTCTGAAGTTTAGTCAAGATGTAGTTCTTACTAATAAACTTTGATAACGATTATTTAATGATATATAATTAAGCAAGGTTTTACAACTTTTGTCTTTTAATACCAGATGAATTTATAATATTCCCATTTGGAACTGAGTCTGTTTGTTATGACTAGGTATAGAATCTTTATAAATCACATTTTAAATTTGAGGACAAAGAAATGTATTTTGGTATATTGATAACATCATCAGTAAAAATATTGATAGAACTAGTTGCTAGGAGTATAAAGAAGTAAAACATGCCTTTGGAGCTTTGAATATACATATGAAAGCTACTTTTGCACTTAAATAATTTGTAAAGAGCATTTTAAAGTTTGGTTTTTCAGTTTCAAAAATGCTTTATTTTGCTTTTGTCCACAAATTCATTATAAATGTTTCATAATTATGAGTTGTATAGTAATAATTGAATTTTATTCATACCACGGAGATTACTAATTAATCAAAGCATACTGTGGGATCCTTTTATGACATATTTTTTCTCTTTATCAAGATTAGAACCAGGTAGAAAATCTTAAGTCGTTTCCTTTGTATCATGCAAAGGGGTTGGTGGATTTGCTTCGTCAGGAGAGCACTGCATTATTAGAGGGAAAATGTGTTTAACAGGTTCCAGCTTCCCAGGACTAGTCAAACTTGGAATAAACTGCTGAAAAAAATTCACCAATTCCCTTGGCTGGCAGCTATAAATTTTGTTGTAAGAAGTGGAAATAGTGTGGCTGATAGGTCAGATTTTGCTAAATGCTTTATTTAAACTTCTTTTTGAAAGTACAGAATGTAAAGTTTAATATACAAATAAAAGCTTTAGGCATATTACATATGGAACATCATGCTAAAAGTATGTCCACAATTCTGAATTCTGACATGTTGCATTTGTTTATTTTTCAGTTTTGTAATGAAGTTGAAGATTTATCTTTTACATTTCAATATTATTTTCTCACTATATATTATGTAATAGCTCTTTAAAAGATATGAACACTGTGTTTGTGGACTGATGTCCTACAATCACACATTCAGTACAAGGAAGGAATTTTAAACATTTCAAAGCTACATTACTAGAATGTTAAATTTAATAGTATCAACAAAAAGAGATACAAAGACAAATACTGTGAAGCTTTGTATTGGTGTTTGACTGGATGTGAAAGTTAAATCGTAGCTGTCACTTTATAGGTAACCACAGATATATTAATCAACATGTCACTTCAGTATGTTTGCAAACAAATAAAGCTGTGACTTGTATTTTCATACTGAAATTTATATGATGGAAGTTTTGGTAGATAATTATAAAGTCCAAATTGATATTCAGAAATGATATTGAATCATTATGTCATTTCTGAATTTATACAAAAAGTCAAATTTGCAGGGCTGTGTTTTAGTGGAGAGTTCCCTGGACAAGGTTGTAAGTGAAAAGAGCTGGACTAATATTTGTGTTAGTCAGTAAAATGAATAGGTATACCAGATGAGCTATAATAACTTTTTTAACGTGAACATTTTAAAACATTTTTAGTGTAGTGATATCCGAGTAAGTTATGCTATAGTAGCTGCAAATAATTTGATTTTTTTCTTTTTTACAGTTTGAATTATTTTACAGCCAGCATTTCAGTGGAAGGAAACTTACGTGGTTACATTATCTCTGTACAGGTAAAATGCATTTAATTATATCTACTTTAATGAAATTTACCAGCTATGATTATGTTAATAATTTAGAAAGAGGTTTCCTACAGCATAAATATGTTTTTTTCTAATGATAATTTTTAACATTTTCTCCTCCATCTACCTTTAATGCTTACCGTTAAAAAACTAATAATGAAAATAAAGTACAGTACCTTTTAATAGTATTTTATAACAGCTACTTATATAATTACTGCTTAAGAAATTTTCTCAATTTTATAATAATTAATTACATTTCTGTAAAAAAAACCATTTTTTATAACATTAGAAATTTTATTTAGAAACCTAGATATAGTGAGTCAAATAATCCAAGAAACCTGTTCTCTCTAAATATGCCAGATATCATCAGGAATTTCATTAAGTATTGTAGCATTCTAAGGAGACATAGCCATTTGATTTTTATTTGTGGTACTATAGTGATCTGCAACAGTAAATGCTTTTTTTAGAATGTCCCCCTTAATTTTCAGTAGTTTCCAATTTTAGGAAAGTTTAATCAGAATCTAATCATTTCCTTTGCTTTCTGGAATAGTGGGGCCACTGTTATTATTATAGTTATTATTAGGTAGGATTAACACCTGAATAATTATAGACTTTGTGCAATTGCTCTAAATTGCCTGAAGATGTTAGCCAAACCAAACACTCAGTTTTCTCTACATATGCTTTGAAAAGTACAGCGAGTCAGCTTTTCTTTTGTACATTAACATGTATATGTTAATATATCTTAGAGATGGTACAACAAAATCTGATCAGTTGCCATAAACTTTAATAGGAAGTCTTTCTATTCACTTAACCTAAGAGAAATTTCATCTAATTCCTCTTAAGTGTCATGTATTTGACTACTTGACATTTGTAATATGATATCTCATTGTGTTAGTAATACATATTCATAATAATTTTTACAAGTTTATCTTTATTTGAGCAAGTTGGACATTTTAATTTTTTCAATAGTTCGTGAAATAGACATGTTTATTGATATTTTTAATAAGTGGTCACTTAGTTGTTGCCTTTAATTTTACATCTGTTGTGAATATTTTTCTATTCTCGTTTAGTAAATACAATTGATTTTAAGGAAAAAAAATTGCTGGACCAGTATTTTAGATAACTAAAAAAGCTAGTATATCTTAATATACTGAATTTAATTTTCTTTTACTTCACATCTGTCTTGAGTTTAAACTCTCTTGGTTATTCTCATTACTTCAGTAATAATTAAACTGTCTCCTAAAGTAATTTTAATGAGGGTGTTTGGCAGCTAGTTGTATATAGAAATGAAAAAACTATGTACATATTTCTTGCCATTGGAATTTGGGTAGATAACTGTTAACAATAACATCTAAATAGGAACAAGCACAACTTTCTTTTTCTGTTTTTGAGCTATGCTAAATTCTCAAGCTCGTCCATATGAACAAGATTTTTGGAGCTCTTTTGTTTATTTGTTTTGTCTTGTTTTAGTGTTATGTGTTTGTATCTTAATTAAAGCCAAATAATTCTTTCTTTGGAAAAGAAGATGTTACCCTTGTAAATTTATTTATTGTCTTGAACCACTGAAGGCACGGAAAAAAATCTATGACTTATCAGTGAAACCACTGGCTAAAGTTTTGTTTTTTATTTATTCATTTATTCACTTAAAAGGTTCTCAGACACCATCCATAAATAAGATATATGTTCTGGAGTGCCCACATTTGTCAGAAGGCTCCAGGGGTCCTTTAAAACCTTGGCTCTGATACTGGACTGATCACTCAAGAGTTCTGATTCCTGAGAACTCCGATCATTTGTACTTATATATATATTCAAAA